GGGGTTGGAGATGTGGCTCAGTGTGTAGAGCACTAGCATCAAGTATGGAGTTTTAGCCCTAGTCTCAGACCAAAAAGAAAAATAAAAGAACAAAATCCTTTCTTTTCATGAAGCTGCAAAGCCGTATTTCAAAGACCTTAGAAACTGAGTCAGCCCCTTCACAAACTCAAATATTTTCAACATTTTAGCTAAAGATAAATAAGAAAATTATAATCCTCAGGCATGCAAATTACCACTTGGGCCAAACATCCTGAAGGGGGGAAAATGGGAAGTTATTACTTTAGGGACCGTTGGGCTAAAATAAACTGAGACCTATCTCAGTTTCCAGAGCCTCTTGGTCTGAATCAAACTGTAATGGACCAGTTTTGTCTGTCTGTACATCATAAGCTAATTCAAAGTGGAATGTCCACAAAGTTTAAAAAATGACAAAACAACTATATTATTATAATCAGTAGTAGTTGAAAAGTTGTTAATAGTTGTCTCCAAGCTACTAGGCTAAGATTCCTCTTGCTTTTAAGTCTTGAATTTTATCTTATCATTTATCTTGGTTCATTTTCTATTACTATGGTAAAATGTTACATGGATAAATTATTACCAATATAATTGTATTTGGCTCCTAGTTCTGGGGGCTGAGAAGTCTAAGATTGAAGGGCTGAATCTGTGATCTTCCTTTGTGTTGGAACAGCCCAAAGTATAGTGTAGGAGGCCAAACTTAGGTCCATATGAAGATCCTACTCTTATGATAATGGAATTAATCTAACCTTAAGGTTTCTTAAATGACCTAGTCAAACTGTGTAAGTCCTACCTTCAAATATGATCCCAGAGCCTTTAAATACTAGCATGAGTTTTGAGGAAATATTCCAACCACAACATCATACAAGATGTCATTATCTTACTATGAGCTATTAGCAAGACACCAACCAAACTTCTTTTCATTATACCTTAGACAATATTCAAATAAAAATGCATACTATCTTTAAGAAATATTGCATCAATTCTGCTTCCTGTTGATAAAATAAGAGGAGGAAACTATAGTTTTAAATTCACTGAATTACAAACAAACAACAAAAAACCTAATAACACAACGAGCCCCAGTAAGTTGATAATGTTAATATAAACAGCTAGTCACAGCAAATACTTGTAGAGCTATGTTGCAAGAAAATTTCCTAATGTGTTTTTAAGAGTCCTCTAAACTATCATGCTTTTAGATTCATAATTACATATTTAGAAATCCATTGTACAAGAATGTTCCAAAAATAGTAATAGCACCAACCATGAAAAACCTCTGTCCCATATTCACTGTTTTAACAAGGAAAAATGGAAATAACTTTCTGGTTCCACAATATAAGAATGGTTAAATAACAATAGTCTTTCATTGGATGGAGCTTAAAAGGGCTATTAAAGTGGTGGTTCTAGAACCATGTCGAATCAGCAGAAACATGCAGCATAATCTTAAGGAAAAAATAAGACCCAGTTACATGTGCACTGTGATTATAACTATGAAAGCAAAATGGGAGGTGGGGAGAAATGTAGAGTTTCATGCAGTTCTAATAGGAGGTGCTTTTTGAAACACTTTATTTCAAAGGCTACAGGAATAGTCTCAACTTTTGACTGAACTTCTGGAAATTTAACTCAGCTTTTAGAAACAGCTATGGTCTGAATATTTACTGTCTGTGCCTCCACAGGATGCTTGGTGCTCATTGGTGGTGCTCTTTTGGAAGGTTCTGAAGTCCACTAGAGGAAGTTGGGCACTGGAGGTGTTCCTGTGACGGTGATACCTGGTTTTAGCCTCTTCTTGTCTCTTTGCTTCGTGTCTGCCATGAGATGAACAACCTCCTCCACCCCATGTGCCCACTGGAGGTGTTCCTGTGACGGCGATACCTGGTTTTAGCCTCTTCTTGTCTCTTTGCTTCGTGTCTGCCATGAGATGAACAACCTCCTCCACCCCATGTGCCCACCACCAAGATGTTCTGTTCAAGAATGTACATGGGACCAAGGCATCATGGATTGAGCTGACTGCAACTGTGAGCCAAAATAATTCCTTCTTCTTGTCAGGTGTTTGGGCTGGGAACCTTGTCACTATAGTGAGAAAACTGACAAATACAGAAACACAGCTTTAAAAAATTATCCAAAGGGCAGGGTACCAGTGGCTCATGCCTGTAATCTTAGTTACTCAGGAGGCTTAGATCGGAGGATCACAGTTCAAAGCCAGCCTGGGTAGAAAAAAAAATTATCGAAAGGACTTGAGATGTGGCTTAGTGGTATCATGCCAGCCTGGCAAACACAAGACCTTGAATTCAAACCCCAGTACTGCCAGAACCAGAACAAAACAAAAATCTAAAAATGAAAATAGAGATTAGAAAGGAGAATTTTATTACAGTACTGAAGCAGATTTTAGCTTTACTGAAGAAGAATCAAACCCCCCCAAATGTGTAGGAAGAATGAAACTAGTTAGTTATACTTTTGCTGTAGGCAGAATGACTGGATAGCCCTTAAGAATGTAAATATTTAATAACAGAGAAAAAGTCATACACTTACAAAAAAGTATTATTCATATTTAAGAAGCAATATAGAATATCAGGTACACTATTTAAAATAATACATGGAAAAATATGAAATTCTTAAGTGCCCAATAGGAATGAAACAACAGCCGTTCTTAATCTTTCTCGTGAATTATTACCACAAGCTATATTTACTTATAAAAATCAGAAAACAATAATAACACCCTATAAACTAAAGAAAGTAAAAGCAAGGATCTACATTGATACATGCTAAAGGACAACTTACTAATGACTTAGTGCTTAGTTTTCCTAGTTTGCACATCCTATGATAATATGATGTTACATTACTAACTTCAAAATCTATACTTCCTTTGCTTTATGCAGAGACATGATTCTAGTATGAAGATATTATATTTATGTAAGTCCACTTAACCCCCACATCTGGGGAGTCAATCATTTGTGGGTTGGAAATATTTGAAAAATGTATCTGCAATGAATACATATAGAGTTTCCACTTGTCATTATTCCCTAAACAATACAACGAACTGCTACGTACATAGAATTTACATTGTATGATGTATTTATGTAATACAGAGCTTTGAGTGTTTGTATATGTTATACAAATATTACTATGAGCATCCTCATATCTTGATATTTGTAGATGGGCAAACATCCTGTAATTAATTCTCAGTGGATACCAAGGAATGATGTATTCAGATTATTATTTCCTTACAAAGTAAGTCACTTGTATTATATTATTCAATTCTCACAGGGATAAGCTTGGGGCAGACAATTTTTTTTTATTATGTTCAGTTGAGGAAACTGAGACTCAGAAAATAAGTGTGGTCATCCAAGTTGTATGATGCATGGATACATGAGCTGGCACTGAACCCACTGGCTGTACTTCTAAATCCTATATTCGATCAGCTTCCAGGATATCTTCCTAAGATTTCTCATCAGGAATGATAAAGCACTAGGCCGTTGTGGCAGTGATACATATCCCTTAAGTAGTTAAGTCATTTACTAAGAGAGAGGGTCTAGGCTTTGCTTTCTACTTACTTTTTCCATGATCTTGAAAATGCTTAAATTTTTAGGAGCTAGGCTTTGGTTGTAGTCAGAGATTTTTCCAACATATCTCCAAGATCCTCAGTGTATCCAACTAATTAAACAGTGATGTGGACTTTGCATGAAGCATTTTTTAATTAACCACAGTGATTTCCAAATTGCTCAGTGTTGGCTCAGGACCCTTAATATTCAAACTAGGGATCTAGTGCCTGTAAACTCCAGTTAAATATTGATATCTGAAATCAAGTTCAATAAAAGCTTCTGTAGAGATGAAAACCAATATAAACCTTCTCAGAATACTAGAAGTACACTAGGCAGAGTGATGAAACAGTCGTTATCCATAGTCTAGAAAGGATAATTTTACTTCTCTTTAAATTTCATAAATAGTTCAACATTTTCATTGTGAGACTACAGAATTCATTTGATTTGTGAGAATTTCAACTTGATCATAATATACAATGAAAGTTTGTTATTTGCCAATAACATTGATGCTAAGTTCACAGAAACAAAAAGATAAAAGCAGGAATGCATGCATATACACAATACACATAAAACGACTGAAGATAAAATTCTAGCAGAAAAGAATTAGTATACTTTGTAATTAGGCCCAAACAGAAATTTTGAAAAGCTTTCTGCCTTCCTTTGAACTCAGGACAAAGGGAAGAACTCTCTGAACTTGACACCAGAATGAAATGCAAACACAAACTTGTTTACAAAATGCTGTCATCACTTTTGAAACTTTGTCTGAGATTCAAGCATAATATAAAAACAATGCACAAACATACATGTTAAGGAAGCCAAGCTATAACCTTAACAATTATATGTGCTGTGAATATTGAAAACCTCAAATAACAGCCTAGCTCCCAAGGTACTTTCCAAGAAACCCTTACAATAAAGCCATCTATCTAGGGATGTTTGGTAGACAGAAGACAGTCCAATTTCTTGGCACCTGCGTCCCCAAACATCATGCTGGTTGTATGGCTTAAGATGATATTACCTCATTTCCTTCTTAATTGTCTATTAAAGCAGTTGGGGAGCGGGTGTTGAGAAGATAAAACTAAAGTTGCTCATTTACTTCTGTGGCAATTATCTCCTAAGTAAGAAATCGAATAGCCCCACCCACCCTGTTTGAGGGCTAGATATCTGACTATTCAGTTTGCTCTTTATTTGGTTATGCTGTCTGTTCTCATTTATTTATTTATTTATATTATTTCTACTTATTCCACCAGAGACAAAAACAGTCTTCCCAGAATACAGGACCATAAATTCAAGTAATGTTTCTTCCCCTTCTTAGTGAATTTGTAAACTAAGAAGAAATTTTGTCTTTGGATCTCTAGCCCTGATGCCTTTTAGTCTCATCTAACCATCTGTAATTTGGCCCAAGGACAACATGACAGTAGCTGTTAAGTATTATTTGGTGAACATGTGCGTTACCTGTGCAGACTTTTTTGAAGTTGGGATTTTCCAGAAGATGTCCCGGTAGACGACACTGGAAACGGTGTTGCCAGAACTCAGGGAACCAGGGATTTCTTGTATTTGTGTCCAGCCTCAGTTTCAGGAAATAATCATCAAAGGACCTGACCTCTGGAGACTGCAGCTTTATGGTGATTCCTCCGTTGGCTTCCACCTCGTAACCTTCGATGACTTCATCTCTGTCTGCCCATCCATCACTAGAAGTGGCAGGGTATGGGGTGGGGAGAGAAAAAGACAAAAGATCTCACAAATAGATATCAGAGGTACATATGAAAGGCTAAAAATCGACTATAACAATCCATGGCTCACTTTTTGGTTAAAAACGAAGAAGAAGAAGAAGAAGAAGAAGAAGAAGAAGAAGAAGAAGAAGAAGAAGAAGAAGAAGAAGAAGAAGAAGAAGAAGAAGAAGAAGAAGAAGAAGGAAGAAGAAGAAGAAGAAGAAGAAGAAGAAGAAGAAGAAGAAGAAGAAGAAGAAGAAGAAGAAGAAGAAGAAGAAGAAGAAGAGAAAGAAAGAAAAAGAAAGGAAAGAAAAATGAAAAGAAAAAGCAGAACATTGTGAAACTAGAAGTTCTCATTTGTTTCTGTTTTACAGTAGAGAACATGGTGGTGAAGACCATTGTAATAACGGTTGTAATAACTAGCATCCATTAAGAATTCATTAGTCAACAGATCCTGTGCTAGTCACTTGGACTGAGATAGAAAAATATGTGACAAGTAGGTAAGTCTGGCTGGATCTAGGCAATCCTTAGCAGTTAATGCAGTCCTCTTTACCAGTAAATCATGGAGCTCATCAATTACTCTCCAAAATGGAAGAACTTAATCCTAGGCCTCAGAGCCTGCAGAATAAGAGCACAGCATGACTTTAGTATTGCAAACAAGACCTTACTAGAATTGAATTAGGTAGAACACAAACTTCTAAAGCTTTGAATCATGCCTTCTACAAGAAATAGCCAGATTTCTTCCCTGCTATTATTCTAAAACAATAGTACTAATAGAAAAAAAATACCTCACTCCTAAATAGAAAAAGAATGATCCTTCTCGGTAAATGTAATCTCACTGACATTTTATTGAATGGGTTAGAAATTTTTCTATAACATTCACATCTACCCTAAGTGATAGAGCACCCATTTAATTCAGGTATACATATGAGCCAGAATTCAGAGGGTGTCAATGAAAAATGGAACCAGAGTTAAGCAAAGAAGGTTTTATTCAAGACAATGGTAATATGTGAGAAATACTGAATTCTATTCCTCTGAAGAAAAATAATGGAAGATTTTTAACTGCTAAGGTGAACTAGCCAACAGTACTATGGGATATTAGTGATGACATTGGTCAAATTGATCAAAATATCATCTTCCCAAAGAAAATAGGAGACAGAGTTTTTTTTTCATCATTCTTGCTAATGTTTCAAAGAGATGGTTCCTGGGTCTAGGAGAAAGTTGTCCCTGAATTGGCCAAGAATGGGGGAAGAGTCAGATATAGCTCAAGGGGCAGAGAAGGCATTTACAATGAAAAGTTTTCTAGGGTAAATAATCTAAGTAAAGGGAAGCCAAGGGTTCCAGCTCAGGAAGAATTCTAAAGTTCTAAAGTTCAATGGGAATGAGAGGGACAGTAAGACTGTCTTGGTCAGGGAGTAGATTTATTCCTCTCCTACAGAGAGAAACCCTGCAGTTAGTAAGACATAATCACAGAGCCTTTGCCAGAGAAAGTATCTTATAGGCTTTTCACAGAGCAGGGAACTGAGCCAAATGCATTTCACTCACCATAGCTCACCTCTTGTTACCTGAGCTCAATAGGAACAAATGTGTTTTCTGCTTAGCTGAGCTAATTGGTTCAGCTTCTGTCCAGAATCTTCCTGGTGAACTAGATGTGAGCTGTATGTACAGTAGGTCGAGTCACAGGAAGTAGAGCTGATTTACCATGATCAAAAGTTAGAAGGATTTTTGAGGTACAGTGCAGCCTACACAGAGTGCTCTTTATATGTCTCTAAATTTGCTAGAAGAGATGCTATGATATACAGTTTTCCCCACTTCCTGAACATTCTTCTTACCTTTCTTTCTTCCTTCCTTTTCCCTCCCTCTCTTCTTCTCTTCTTTCCATATTTACTAAGCAGTCACCAAGATGTTATAAGTGAGAATAAGATATGCTATTGCCTGTCTCACGGTGGATGCTACAGACTTGTGGGGAAACAGACACTAAAGGATGATAAATTCTAGGAGATTAAGGAAGAAGCATTCAGGACCGTGGTGGGGGAGGGTTTGGAGTTTAACCTAAGCTGGTGTGTCTCTACGTGTGTGTGTTGGGGTCTATAGCTTCCTGAAGAAAGTGATGGAGACCTGAGATCCAAAGAACACATTAACATTATTCAGGTAAAGAGGAGAGGGATTTAAGTGTAGCACTTAAGGACTTTGGAGACAGTGCAGGGCAGATAAAGCACAGAGAAGGTGACAGGAAGTAGGGGTGAGTACCTGGAAACTTTGAGTGTGAGAACTGGGGTAAGTCCCCACAGGGCCCCCAGCCCACTTCTGATCAGGGCTGGCCTGCTGTTCTGTACGCTCTGTGCACTCTACTCACAAAAGTCTTCCACTCAGTATCACTCAGCACAATGCCCAGGAAGTTGATCAGAAAGACCGACACATTCATCTTTCTGTTTGTTCAATCCTGAGAGGCCCACTTATTTTAATTTACATTAAAATACACTTCTATTGATAACTTCACTATGACCTCAGAAGTCTGCAGATTTGCACTGAAGCTTGTATCCTGTTTAAAAGGAAGGTGAAAATAAAATTAGTTGGACTTTAACAAACGCAAAATCTGCCTAGGAGTTTACTATTCAAAATCAAAATGACCTATAGCTTTTGTTTTTTGTTTTTGTAAGAGCTTGTCTCAAAAAAAATTATCTGTCTGTCTGTCTATCTACTCATCTATCTCCCTGGATAGTCTCAAATATGCTCTGTAGCCAGGATGACCTTGAACCCAGGATTCAATTGCCACTACCTTCTATACTACCATGTCCACATAAGAATTGCTTTTGATGTAAATGCAAGATTCAACTTATCTTGCTCTATAAGTTTAATATTCTATGAGATTTCTTTTATTGGTAATAGGTACAAAACTGCAATCTCACAACTTTACAAAAGGATTATAGCACGTGTTCTTAATAATATATTTCTACATTCATTTTTTAAAAATTTCTGAGCCATGCTCAGTTTTATAAAAACAAATAAAATTATGTGTCAATGCCAGACACAGAAAACTCGACCTTCTGTCCTTGACCCAGCCAACAGAGGTACACAGAGTACAGCTTTGTCTGGAGCCCGGATTCCTCTCAGTCATTGATGGAAGCCTTTGCCCTCACAAAAGATTGGTCTCCCTTCCAGAAGTGACAGTGTTAAATACAAGGGATCACAAAAGTCATGGAAAAGCAGGGTGTGATGGAGAAATTATTCAAGTAGGATTACTTGGTGAATATCTTTTAAAGAGTGAGTCTGAGATGTTACATGAGCTTATGAATCTATTAGAGGTAAGAAGCAAGGAATGGTAATAAAATAGATGCTGAAAAAAAATGTCTGCAAAGCAACTCTTCATTTTTATCCCTTAAATAGTTTCCCCTCTCACTCATAAAGTACGCTTACACAGAATGAAGGAGGACCTTTTGCTGTTGAGTTGCGTTGGTATTTTCGGTGCGGATATTATTGCAGTGAATTATCTGTGAACTACACCTTAAAAAGAGGGAGCCAGCAGCTTGCACGATTCCGGGCCCAGGATCTTTCTTAGATGGAGGTGGTGTGGCCTGTGCTTGGCCTGAGATGACTTGGAGTCACCTGGTCACCCCACAAGGCACAGGAGTGGATTCTGCTGAGCTGGGTGGTAACCCGGCCTCAGACAGAGCCACATTCCATGAGGCACATACAAAGCCTCTGGCAGCTTCTGCTGCTCCATCTGTTTCCCAATTATTAGTGTTCCATCTCCTAGCTGGAGTCTGGAAACAAAGCTGCAGATTGTGGAGGTGCAGGGTGACTGTCGAATAGAAAGCAATGCAAGAATCTCCTTCTCAACATTTTTTAGATTGCAGTTCTTCAAAAGGCTGTTCAATATTCCCTTCCATGTATGATTTCACATATACTTGAATAATTATCCTTCTCCTCCCTCATAACTTCTAATATTAATAACAAGAAAATTCTACTGCTACTTCCACCAGTAATATTACTTTTGCAGCATATCAGTTAAAATAATTTAATTAGCAAATGGATACTAAAAAATAGGAATACAATATTATTATTATTGTTGTTGTTGTCAGTTGTGGGGCTTGAACTCTGGGCCTGGGCACTGTCCCTCAGCTCTATCAGCTCAAGGCTAGTGCTCTACTGCTTGAGCCATAGCACCACTTCTGGTTTTCTAGTGGTGTATTGGAGATGAGTCTTACAGACTTTCCTGCCCTGGCTGGTGTTTTGAACCATGATCCTCAGATCTCAGCTTCCTGAGTAGCTAGGATTACAGGCATGAGCCACCATTGCCTGGTTAATTTTTTTTTTTAAGAACTGGGAACCGATCTCATCAGAGCCTCATGGTAGCTAGGTGAGCACTTGATCAATGAGGCTTGCCTTCCGACTAAACCCCCTCCTCTTCTTTCTTTCTTGGTTCTTTTGTGGTAAAGTCTATGCTCCTGGTGGCCTGGTTTGTGATCCTCTAACTTGTGCTTTACCATGTGACTACCATGTCAGAAGTCTCGGAAATCTCTTTATTTCCCGAGATGGTTTTGATCCTTTGATCCAATTCTATCTAGCATGTAACTTGGGTTTTATAGGCTTGAACCACAGAGACTGTGAGGATTCATATTTTTATTTTATTATTTTATGATTTTTATTAGTATACATTGGTTGTACAAGAGGGCTCGTTGTGACATTTCCATGCTCACAGACAATGCATCTAGATCACCCTCATTATCACTCTCCCTGACCCCTATGCCACTTCTGTAAACAATTTCAACAGGCTTCATTGTCCTAGTTTAATTCATGCATATAAAGTACTTTGACCATATCCACCTCCTTTGCCCTCCATTAGGCCTCTGGACCTCATATTCTTACCTGCCTCCTCCCCCACTGAACCTGTTTTACATTCCTGTCATTTATGTTTTCAGTCTCTATCAATTGAACCAAATGACAGTTAAGATGTGCATAATCAGAGTAATTGCCTC